AGGGTGAAAAACAGAGTTTTCCCCATAAGGTCAGTAATAAGACAAGGATGTCTATTCTCATCACTTTTATTTGCCATAGAACTAGAAGTCCTAGCCACAGCAATCAGACAACAAAAAGAAATAAAAGGCATCCACATTGCTAAGGAAGAAGTAAAACTTTCACTACATGCAGATGACATGATACTCTATATAGAAAACCCTGAAAAGTTCACCAAAAAATTACTCGCACTGATAAATCAATTAAGTTGAAGGATACAAAATCAACATATATAAATCTCTTCCATTTCTATACATTAGTAATGAAGAAGCAGAAAGAGAAATTAAGCAAGGAATCCAATTACAGTTGCACCAAAAATAATAAAATACCTAGGAATAAACCTAACCAAAGAGGTAAAAGATTGTACTCTGAAAACTATGAAACACTGATGAAAAAATTTAACATGACACAAAGAAATAGAAAGATATAACATGCTCATGAATTGGGAGAACAAATACTGTTAAAATGTCCATACTACCAAAGCAATCTATAGATTGAATGCAATCCCTATCAAAATACCAATAGCATTTTTCACAGAGCTAGAACAAACAATCCTAAAATTTGTACGGAACCACAAAAGACCCCAAATAGCCAAAACAATCCTGAAAAAGAAAAACAAAATTAGAGGTTAGTATTACAATTCCAGACTTCAAGTCATATTACAAAGCTCAAGTAATCAAAACAGTATGATACTGTCACAAAATTAGATTAATAGGACAGAACAGAGAGCCCCAAATAAACCCACAATTATGTGGTCAATCTTCAACTAAGGAGGAAAGAATATGCATTGGGAAAAAGTAACAAGTGGACTTGGGAAAACTGGACAGCTATATGCAAAAGAATGTAACTGGACCACTTTTTTACACCATGCACAAAAATAAATTCAAAATAGATTAAAGACCTAAATATGAGGCCTGAAACCATAAAAATCCTAGAAGAGAGCTCAGGAAGTAATTTCTCTGACATCAGCTGTAGCAACATTTTTTTCTAGAGATATCTCCTGAGGAAAGGGAAGTAAAAGCTTAAAAAAAAAAAACAAAACAAAAACTGTTGGGACTGCATCAAAATAAAAAGCTCTCTTAGAACATGACCTTTCAGCAGTGTTCAACATTGTTAACTGCTTTCTTCAAGGCAAAGCTCTAAGCCCTTGTTTCTCCAGTCTTCTCCCGCTAGCCAGTACTAATAGCTTCTGTTAGTATCTCTGTACAGATTTCCCCCCTAAATCTTGACATCATCCCTTGGATATCTCAGAATCACTTCAAACTTAACATGTTCTAAAACAATTCAATCTTCTTTCCCAAACCTAATCTAGTGAATGGGACTATCTATCTGGTTCTAAAAACTAAAAGTCAAAACATGCTCCTGTAAGCTTTCCTTTCCCACAATCCCACATCCAGTCCATTAAAATTTTCTCTCTTAAATATATTTTGATATTTGGCTTCTCTCCATTTCTACCACTATCAGTTTAGCCCAAGCTACCTCATCATCTTTCACAGTGCAACTCTTTTTTTTAATTTTTTTTTAAAATGTTTTATTTATTTCTAGGAGATAAGGAGAGAGACAGCGTGAGCAGGGGAGGGTCAGAGAGAGAGGGAGTCAGACTGAAACAGGCTCCAGGCTCTGAGCTGGCAGTCAGCACAGAGCCCAACGCGGGCCCGAACCCATGAACCACGAGATCATGACCTAAGCGAAAGTCGGACGCTTAACCGACTAAGCCACCCAGGCGCCCCTCACAGTGCAACTCTTAACCAGCATCCATTCTTGCCTCCTTCCAATCAATTCTCCACACAACACAGAAATATTTTCCATGTACACATCTGATCATGGCAGTCTCCCTTCATCTTTTTCAAATAACCATGCAGTGGCTTTGTACTCCTCGTTGGGTAAAACCTGTAATACTTAACATGGCCCAAAGGATCTAGAGGGTTTGGCCTCTACATAATGTTGGAGGCCTCACTTTCCAACACTCCCATCATATCCATCCCTGACTTTCTTGTCTTTCTTCCCACCACAGTGCCATTTTTTACATAGGATTCCTCTTGTCCATAATCTGACCCTCGCATGTAACTCATTAATATCATTCAGAACTTAGCTTAGAATTACATTTTTAAAAAAGCATTCCTTGGGGCACCTAGGTGGTTCATTTGGTTGTGTCTGACTTCAGCTCAGATCATGATCTCGTGGTTCATGAGTTCAAGCCCTGTGTCAGCCTCTATGCTGACAGTGCAGAGCCTGGAGCCTGTTTCAAGTTCTGTGTCTCCCTCTCTCTCTGCCCCTCCCATGGTCATGCTCTGTCTCTCTCTTTCAAAAATAAATATTATAAAAGAAGAATTTAAAAAAAGCATTCCTTAACCTGCTCAAAGCACAGTTGCACCTTAGTTTTGCTTGATGAACTGTCTAACCACTCAGTTTCTCCACTATAATGTGTGTGATTACAAGAACCACATTTATTGTTATCACCTTTCTATCTCCAGCCTCTAGTAAAGATCTGACAGGTACCTAGAAGGCCCTCATGAATATTTCTAAATGAATTAACGAAGAATTAGAAATTACCTGTTCCTAAATGAAGTATCATGGACTTGGTGACACGTTTTAAATGGATTACATGCAAACCATCTAACCAAATGCCCTGTTTTTAAGAAGAATTCCAATTAAACCATTACAAAGTTGTTTCTCCTCATTCCTTCCTGCATTGTGTTTCAGGGGCACTTATGTTCCAGGCACTGAGACCCAGCAATGAATTAGACAGGGTCCCTCCACTCAGGCAGCACCTGGTTTAAGTTGACTGACTTTTCATTTCAAAAGTCACTCTTACTCTAAGGCCAGATTACTTGTTTCCTAACCTGAGTGGAGAATAAATATATCATTATTTTTAAAATAAATCTCCAGCTTTCTGATGACTCTGAGGCAATCTTGTTCTATTTTATAGAAAACTTACTTTTTCTTAAACATACAGACCTGAATAATTTTAATTATTTACCTCTTTTTATGTCTGATGAGAATGAGAAGCAAGGTACAAAGAATTAAAATGGAAAAAAATATACCTCCTAACAAAACTTATATACAGACTAGATGACAAGGAAAAACCTAACAGCATATGCTGTTGAAGAGTCCTTCTTCAGACAGAAGTTAGAAATAAGGCAAAATAATTGGAAAATGAAAAACTTAAGCCACTTACACATATTTTTTCAGAAATCTGAAGTAAGTTATGTCTAAGAACTCTGATCTTGAAATGCCTACTGCATAGCAAACAGTTACTAAAAATGTTATTCCACTATCTATTAAAGATAATAATAGATAATAATAGTCACCCATAATGCTGACTTGGGATCAAAAATTTATCTTGAACACATTTGTTTTTACCCTGTTGATGGTTTTAAACTGAGTTCACATATCAAGTCCTCATTACTTGAATTTGCAAAATAGCTGATTAGGATTACTGCTATCATGGAAACAAGGTTTTCCTTCTGCTTCTCTAATGTGTGTGCTAAAATAGACATCACATCTACAACGAAGAATTAGAAAATCCTGGCATATACATGGTTATTCCATTGTCTTCAAAATCGCTTCAGAGTGCACCCAAGTGGAAATAATACTCCAATAGCATGCTAATTATTGGCAAGTTATAAAGATGACTTCCTAACTTGCTCATTTAATAATTTCTATTAATAAATCCCTGTCATCATACTATCATTGACGGCTCCTGAACATGAACATAGTCTGATCACACAGCATAAACTATCTCTCAGAAGATATCTTAAAACTCTTTAGTCACTGTAACATATTTGGCTCTGTTAAACATGTTGGAGGATTCAAGTTCAATTTAGTTCTATGTACTATTGAGTGTTATTAATTTAGTCCAAAATGTATCATCTGTGTATATAATGATGGTGGCTCCTACTTTCATCACCCAAGCCACTGGTAAAGTATTCATTATTGTCCTACGGGAGAGATTCCAATGGAGCATCACTTTTAGGCTGACATAGAACCAAAAACTAATAGCCAAAATTCTGGTATACAAAACGTTTTTACACGTTTGAACCTTCATTTGAACCTTCATTTATTCAACAGACATTTCAGGAACTGAGTGCTAGTTCTATGCCAACCATTGGCTAGAAACTGGGAAACAACAGTCACCATTACAACAACTCTCTACTAGTGATTATCAAAATGTTGTCTCAGAACCAGTGGCATCCGCATCACCTAGGAACTTGTTAAAACTGCTTTATTTTTTTAAAATGTTTTATTTCTAAGAGAGAGAGAGAGAGACAGTGTGAGCAGAGGAGGGTCAGAGAGAGAGGGAGACATAGAATCTGAAACAGGCTCCAGGCTCTGAGATGGCTGTCAACACAAAGCCCGATGCGGGGCTCGAACCCATGAACTGTAAGATCATGACCCGAGCCGAAGTTGGATGCTTAACTGACTGAGCCACCCAGGCACCCCAAAACTGCTTCTTTAAAGCAGTTAAAACAGGCCTTACCCCAGATTGACTGAATCTGAAACTCTGGGGGGCGGGGCCAGCCATCTGTGTTTTAACAAGCCTTGCAGGTTAATTCTGATACAGGCTCAAGTTTGAGAACTGTATATTTGCATTAATATATTAGAAAATTGAGGCCCAGAGAAGGAAACAGACTGGAGGTGCAAAAGAGACTTCTTCGTGTCATCTATCCCCAGAGATGAGAAAAATGTCTGGCACATAAAATGTGCACACAATAAAGATATTTGGATGGGAAAATGACTGAATCCTCCAAAGAGATGTGCTATCATCCAACTATGGCAATAGTCTGAGCAATATAATCGTAACTTACTGAAGATGTACATATTGATGATCAAAGTATTTCTTCTATAAAAAGAAATGTTTGCCATGACATCAAGAATTATAATTTAAAAACTATTATTTTTGACTCTTGCATAAAAGAAGTTACTAGAGGTGACCACTACCCAAACTGTTCAATTTCCATACCTTGTTATTTTGCCTTGATTTACTTAACTCCAATTTATACTTTTCTGCCTCTTCTAGAGCTCTATTCAACCGAACTTCTGTAGCACTTTGATTGGTAGCAGCCTGTTTTTGTAGTCTTCTTTTATTTTCTAATTCCTGTATAGTAAAAGACATATATGGAACATTTATAAAGTTCCCTCTATTATTATGCAACATCTTCCATTTCTCCCAAATTTTATAAACACACACACACACACATGCACGCACAGCTGGGGCTGAAGACTGACTGACAGAGGTCTTAGGGAATTCTTACCTCCAAATCAGTAGCAGTAGGAAAATATGTCCTTAAAAATGTAGTTATGAATTAGACTTTCAAATGACTATTTGTTTGGAATTTTCTACTTCTTTTTATGTACTATAGAGATTCTCTGTATTTATTCTATAAGCAACTCCTTGTAACTACAGTTCTTCCTTTGGGAACTTCCCCCAAACACCCATGTAAGGCACAAACTCTCATAAATACTGTGTTTGTGTAAACCTAACAAAATATATAAGAAATATTTGTTAAAAACAGAGCATTCTACGTTAGCCTCAGAGGGAAAATCCCAACTCTGGGCAAAAACAACAGATCTTGTGGATTAATTTTCCCCATCTTGGGGTAGATTTAGACTTGCATTTGTGCAAATATTCTAAGAGATGCTGCTGCAGAGAGTCTATAGGCCCCACATGAAGAAACATGAACATGTAGGATAAACTCGAAACTCTACCATAATCTGGCACTATAATCTCATCTCCTGCCAGAAATGTTACCTTCATATGTATCAGCAGTATATGGATCTCTCCTAAACAGCTACGGTGTTTCTTGCCTCTGAGCCTTTGCTCATACTTTTCCTTCTGCACCAATCCCTCGCCCCTACACCTCATTTTTACCTGGCCAGTACATACTCATCCTTTAAGACTCAATGAAGGGTGTACAGGAGGGTTTTACCTCCTCCAAGAAGCCTTCCCTCATTATCTTCCTCATTCACCTCCCAGGCTGGATTAGGCACCCTTTCTTTAGAGCTTCTACAACAGCGTGACACACATTTATCATGGTACCTGCTGTACAGAACTGAAACTATCCATTTACTTCATCTCCCCTACCATAATGGAAACTCAATAAGGATAGAAATGGTCTTCATTTCTGTATTCCCAGAACTTTAATAGCATAGAAGAGGAACTAATGACATATTTATTCAACTGAATTTATTTTGTAATACTTAACTCACTCTTCTTTGCATCCCCTACAGTGCCTAGTACAGAGCTTTATATTCAACAGATATTCAATAAATATCATGGAATTGAAATGATGCAATGAAAAATACAGTTGTCTGTTTTCTTCTTTTATAATTTTTTTTCTCCTGGCTGAATCACTATGTTTTATTTGAAAACTGATCTCACTGGCTCTGAGTAATTAAGGGCAAAACAAAACAAAATACAACAAAACACATGCTGCTCTTATGTAGGTTTCTAAACAAATCAAACTGTGTATGGATACCATCTGCTATCACCAGCCTTCTTCACAGCTTTGTGGGTGGTAGCTACAGTAAGAGCAAGCTTGATTTATCTCACTGTTCACAGGGAAAAAGCAGAGATTCTCATTAGCTACAAAGTCCACAATTCTAGCTGCCTCCTTTCAGCCTCCTCTCATAAGAATATGAAAAATAAATCTCTGCCCTTCTCTTTCCTGCTGGTGACTTTGTAACCTGCTTCATAGGAAAATGAAAACCATCCTATACCACATTATGTTCCCCTACCCGTGCATCAATATTGGCTCCCTTCTTGGGAGAAGTGAAAAAGAAAAACGATAGCCATTAGAATTGTAAAATAGGAAATAAAGTATTCCTATGTGAGTAAATCCACCAAGGGAAAACCTTACCAAAAGCTTAAAACATTGCTGTTTTCAGTCACACTCAATTACTCTTTACAAAATACCAGTGTTTTTATGAGAGAGCTTATATACTGAAAATACTCGATAAAACAAATCTATTGTTACCAAAGTTAAGCAATTTACATGTTGTTAGAGAAAAATTTTTACTAAAGATCTCAAGCCCTGACTTTTACATTAGTTTTAAAAGAAAATTCTAGATAGCTTAAAGAAAATAAAATAGAACTTTAAAACTCAAATAGTATGAGATCCAAGAAGAAATAATTTGCTATCCTCTAACAACTTTTAAAGCATTCATAAGGCACTACAAGAGGGCTAGAAAGAGGTATGTATCAGTAGCCAAAGCATCGGACGAAATGTAGCAAATGCTTTAAGAGGAACAATTAATTGCCATAGTAATTTAGAAGAGGAATAATCAGATGAGGATAAGTAAACGATCAGATAAGGTTTTAGAAACCTTGTGGCTACAGTACAAAGAGCAATAAACTTGGGAGTTAGAAACACCTATGAGCTGTGGTAGACTCAGTTTCCACATGTGAAATTGGAAGTAATGAAATCTATATCTAATTACTTATTCAACACATTTATCTAGCATTTACTATGTGCCAGGTACTAATCTATATGAATGATGGGCACATGATAATTAACCAAAGTTCCTCCCCTCATAAAGCTTGCATTCTAGAGGAAAGATAGATGATAAGTACATAACATATATACATACTCATATGTAATATATGGTAGTGATAAGTGCTATGAAGAAAAATAAAGAAGGGTAAGGGGACAGAGCGATGGGGGAGGGGTATATTTATAAATAAATATAAAATGGTTAGAGAAGGCTTCCAAATGAGATGATTCTTATAAAGATCTGGAGGGAATAATTACAGACTGAAAGGGATAATGAAAACAAAAATCCTGAGGTAGGAATCCACTCAGCTTATTCAAAGATCACCTAGATGGTATTGCTACTGAGGTAGGACTATCAATGTAGGAGGTCACTGGAGTAGTATAAGTGAACAACAATAGCTGGGGCTTGGATAGTAGTAGTGAGTTGGTTAATTCTATGTATTTTGAAGATAGAATTGACAGATTTTTTTTAACAGGTTGGATGTACGTGCGGAAAGAGAGAAGGAGCAGCAGGACTCTTGGATTTTGGCCCAAACAACTTGTCTTTTACTGAGAAGGGGAGAAGCCCTCTGCAAAAGGGAAGCAAGAGCTCCTTTTAAGACATATGAAGTTTAACAAACCAAGCAGAGGTGTCAAGTGGGCACCAAAGAAGAGGTCAGAGCAAGAAAAAGAAATGTAGGGGTGACCAACATATGGATGGTATGTAAAGCCATTCAAGTGAATGAGAGCATCTAAGAACTGGATGTGGGCAGAGAAGTGAGGGAGCCAAGGACTGAGCCTTGGGCACTCCAACATATAAAGATCAAGAAAATAGGGAAGAAAATCAAGTGTTTTATCTCAGAAGCCAAATGAATAGTGTTTCAAGGAGTGAGTAATCAACCATGGCAAATATTACTGAGATATAAATTACTAAAAGGAATAATAACTGACTACAAATGGCAGTGTGGGTTACTGGTAATGTGGTTAAGAATGGTTTCAGAGGCAGAGCAGAGATGGAAACCTAACTAGACGAGTTTCAGGAGAGAATGGCAAATGAGGAATAGAGACACTGAGTATAAACAACTATTTTAACAAGCTTCACTATAAAGGATAGCAATGTTATAGGGCTGGAGGTACATTTAAAATCTATGGAGGTTTTTAAAAATACATTAGATATTCTACAACATGTTTCTATGCTAATATGAATAATCCAATAGATGAATGTGATTTTTCAAAGAGAAAGACAGGGTGACTGTAGAAGCAAAGTCCTTGAGTAGGAGAGAGGGTATGTGATCCAGTGCATGGTGAAGAGATAGGCCTTTACGCAGCGGAGGTAGTAATCCATTGTCAAAAATTAGGGGGTAAGCAGTGCGTAGATGGGTACAGAGGCAGAGACATTCACAGATTTAGTGACAGGATGAGGAAGAGTTATCCTTTATTTTCTTAGAAAACAGTGGGCAGGGGCACCTGGGTGGCTTAGTCAGCTGAGCGTTTGACTTTCGCTTAGGTCATGATCTCGTGGTTCGTGGGTTCGAGCCCCGCGTCAGGCTCTGTGCCGACTGCTAGCTCAGAGCCTGGAGCCTGTTTCGGTCTGTGACTCCCTCTCTCTCTGACCCTCCCTTGCTCACGCTGTCTCTCTCTCTCTCCTAGAAATAAATAAAAATTTAAAAAAAAAAGAAAAAGAAAACAGGGGGCAAAGTCATGAACTTAAAATGGGAAGTTAGAAGAGGTAGTGGAAAGTTGAGGAGAAAAGATCACCTGTTTAATAATCATCTTAGGAGAGGGAACTGACTTGGGAGAGAAAAATGACATTACACTTGAGATTTGTAAATTAAATTTAAAGTAGGACCAATTCATTTGGCTGGTATTTTGTTTGCTTGTTTTGCTGACAGCCAAAATTCACTAATCTTGAGTAAGCATGCAGTAGCAAGAGCATTAAGTTTAACTAGGCTTGGGTTTTGCCCACACACTAGATTTGCAGTGAAATTAAGAATACACAACAGATAATTAAGTAGTGAACATGAAAACTAAGCTTGGAGGAAGGGAATAAAGAACCAGGGGGAAATGCAGATCTGTATAATAAAAAATGTGTATGACTATACACAACTCTCTTATGTACATGGTAGCAATGTGTAAACTACATAATATTAAATAAAAATAAGGGCCATTAATATCACATCTCTGCAGGACTTATCTAGGCAAAAATTTGCAAGATAAGAACATAAAGAAATTAAGAAAATGTTTTTGAGGAGTTTTGCTATGAAAGCAAAAAAGAACAAAGCACCTTCAGGAAATGATACAAGTATCAATTTTAGCTGGGGCAAAAGATAAGAAGAGAGCAGACTTCTTAAAAAGTTAGTTACTAATGATAGGCATGTTTGTGTGACATAATCCATGGTCAGAGAAACTTGTGGATATACCTGCTGACTTTAATTTGACCAAAACCAAAATAAAACAAAGATTAGGGCTCCCATATATTATGAAATAAGGACCTAACATAAAAACACATGATAAACTACTAAAAAAATAATCAAAACATGTTAAATAACTATTTAGAGATCATGGAAAAACAGTAGGATTGAGATTCCTGAGAGAGGGGAAATAAATGAAGTAGTCCTATAATCAC